AAAATCCTGGTACATGAGGGGCACCTGGCTGGCTCAGTCAGTAGAGCATGTGAACTTGAACTTGAGGTCGTGAATTCAAGCCCCACATTGGGTATAGAGATCACTAAAAAATAAAATCTTTTTAAAAATCTCTTTAAAAAATCCTGGTACGTAAATGTTCATAGCATCTTTATTCATAATAGCTAAGGTTGGAAACAGCTCTGATGGGGAACAACTGGTGAGTGGAATAAACATGTAGTAAGTAGTATTTCCTACAATGACGTAACTACTCAGTAATAAATAATGGTATATGTTACAACATTGATGAATCTCCCAAAATTCTGGTGAGTGAAAGACCACACAAAACAGTCCATATGGTATAAATTATTCCATTTATATAATGTGCTAGAAAAGACAAAACTAACCTATGATGGCAGAAAGCAAGTCCTCAGTAGTTGTCTGACACATGGGTTGGAGGTGACCGAGTGGGAAGTAGCACAAAGTGAACTGTAGATGTAATGAGAATGTTCAATATTTTAAGTGTGGCCATTTCACAGGTGTATACATTTGTAAAACTCACTTACACATTTAAAAGAGCATTTTGGGGCATCGGGCTGGCTTAGTCGGAAGAACATCTGAATCTTGATCTCCAGGTCATGAGTTTGAGCCACATGTTGGGTGTAGAGATTACTTTAAAAACTTAGGAGCATTTGGGGCGCCTGGATGGCTCAATCCGTTAAGCATCCAACTCTTGATTTCAGCTCAGGTCATGAACTCAAGGTTGTGAGATCCAGCCGTGCATCGGGCTCTGTGCTCAGCAGGGAGTCAGCTGAAGATTCTTCCCCTCCCTCTGCCCATCTATATTGTATGGGTGGAGGTTTCTATGATTTGTCCTGCCTAACCCACCACCCTGACTTGCACAAACGCAGGTAGGCTAAAGAATGTTGTTTGTGAGACTTGTGCTGCACGAGTAACCTCGGGAGTCTGGGTAGTTGACATTAGCTGGCCTCCAGGTCAGAACCGGTCTTTCCGACCTGGACACTAAGGGCTATAAATTTTGCCTTGTATCTCCTCTGGCTCTGGGCTGGGCTGGCCCCCCAGAATGGAATCTGGGAAGAGAGACAAGTATATGGCCCAGGCTCCTTGAAGATGTAAAGACATGATAACATAGAAATGCAGCCCACTTCAAACTGCACATAGGCAAACACATGTTTAACTTTAGACCCCGTCATTTGCCCTGTAAATACGGCCCTGATTGGGATGGTCAGTTGAAAGTCTCACCTGAGGGGAGGACGCGCCACTTAGGCCTCTCAGTCAGAAGTCCAGCATGGCTGTCTCCATGGGGCTTCCCCAGCCAATGAGGTTGCATGTTTTAAGTACCCAATTTAATGTAATTTGTCTTGTTCTACTTTACTGCTTACTATTGTCCTCATCTGTGTGCAGATTTCCCTTCTTTCTGTTTCAATTAGATTTTTATAATATCAATAAAGTGCTTTCCCCCTTTGAAATTGGGAGTAGGGCTGCTGTGAACCTGGATGTTTAGCACATCCTCCCCTCGCTTTCTCTCTCAAATAATAAACAAATCTTTAAAAAAAATTAAAAATTAGAATTTTATTGTATGTAAATTAACAATGTTGACATAAATGATGCCAGCATTTATAAAATCAGGACATTCTACATAAAAACCCATATCTCTGTCTTTTCTTGAACATCTGAATACAGAGCGACTGTGTATTGATCCATTTCTCTCTTTCTCTATATACTGGGAGGGCCATTTTACTTCCTTTTTTCTTTCTTTCTCTTTCCTTCCGTCCTTTCTTTTCTTTCTCTTTTTCCTCTTCTCTTTTCTTTCATAAAGTACACTCTATGTCCAACATAGGCCTGAACTCACGATCCCAATATCAAGAGTCACATGGTCTACTGACTGAGCCAGCCAGGTAACCCAGTTCTTTCCTCTTTATATACACAGGTCTACAGGTCCTGGAAGCTCTGCACACCCCATGCAGCACGACCATAGACAATGGAGCAGGTGAGTCCCTTTATTTTTTTAAAGATTTTATTTATTTATTTGACAGAGAGAGACAGCGAGAGAGGGAACACAAGCAGGGGGAGTGGGAGAGGGAGAAGCAGGCTTCCCACCGAGAAGGCAGCCCAACGTCGGACTCGATCCCAGGACCCCGGGATCATGACCTGAGCCGAAGGCAGACACTTAACTGACTGAGCCACCCAGGCACCCCAGGTGAGTCCCTTTAAACAGACTATGTCCCCTCTAGTCTTTCAGGGACCCTCCTCTCTCTGTAACTTCATGGTGCCCCCCCCTTTTAAGATTATTTCATTATTTGAGAGAAAAAGAGAGAGAGTACAGGGTGGGGGCAGAGGGAGAGGGAGAAGCATACTCCCCACTGAGCAGGGAGTCTGATGTGGGGCTTGATCCCAGGATCATGATCTGAGCGGAAGGCAGATGCTTAACTGACTGAGCCACCCAGGCGCCCCTTCATGGTGTTTCTTTATCCACATATCTCACGCACTTGGCCCATGCAGATCTTATATTGTGATACCTACACATAGGGGTCCAGCCTCCCAGGGTTATGGGTCCTGGTCATGTCCCAGAAGTCAGCTTCTCCTCAACACTTCTAGGGAAATGAGAAATGCTCTAACAAGGAACCCACTTCTTTCTCATTTCTGACAATGGATCAACTACCCCCTTTATCACAAAGAGCTCCAGGTTCCTAAGTCACTCTGACCTAAGGTCACAAATTTCAGTGTGTAGTGCTCTTCATATAGGAGGCCTAGGGGTAGTAATACAATAATGTCACAACTGGACAGAGGCATGCACTGCAATCCGCAGTCCCCCCTGAGGCAGATGTTACGGGGACCCCCCCAAAAAACTTGCTCATTTTCATGCTGGCAGATCTCAATATCTCAACGTCTTCCTCATGATAAATAAAGCAATAGAGATTTTATTTTTTAAGTCATCTCTATATCCAATGTGGAGCTTGAACTCACAACTCCAAGATCAAGAGTTATATTCTCTACTAACTGAGCCAGCCAGGCCACCCCAGCAATGGAGATTTAAAATGATTTTTAAAAATAAGGCATTTATGGGATGGCTGGGTGGCTCAGTCCTTTAAGCATCTGCCTTCGGCTCAGGTCATGATCCCAGGGTCCTGGGATCAAGCCCCACATCGGGCTCCCTGCTCAGTGGGGAGCCTGCTTTTCCCTCTCCCACTCCCCCTGCTTGTGTTCCCTCTCTCGCTGTTGTCTCTCTCTGTCAAATAAATAAATAAAATCTTAAAAAAAAAAAAACCCTCCGACTCTTGATCTCAGCTCAGGTTTTGATCTCAGGGTCGTAAGTTCAAGCCCCACACTGGGCTCCACACTAGGCATGGAGTCTACTAGAGGAAAAAAGAAGAGAAGAGAAAGAAAGGAAGAGAAAGGAAAGAAAAAGGAAAGCTGGTCTGAATGTTAATTCAGAGGATCATGAAATTCATCACGGTTATTACACACAGAGTTGATATCTACGACGAGAGGAAACTTTCCCAGAATCCCTCCAGAGACTCCTCAGGTCCCCTTGTCCAGAGCTGGCATGTGTCCATACCTAACACAGTCATGGATGATAGATATGAAACCCCACCCCAGCTCAGGACAAGGGGGATTCCCTCCAGGGGAACTCAGCTGCAGACCTCCCTGAGCAACACAGGCATGACCGCAGCACAGTCCAGGCGCCACAGATGCTTGTCCAGACGCCGGCAGATCACAGACACAACACAACCAGACAACAGAGGCTTTCCTGCTGCATTAAAGAGTTTGACTCCATTTCTGATGCTTGACTGCTGACTTCTTTCTAAACCTCATGTTCCCTTTCCCTTTTGGCTCCTTATACGGACAGGTTTGACAGGCAAGTTTGCATGCTCCTTCTCCTTTGGCACCTTAAATGTCACAAGTCTCCAGCCTCCACGCAGCAACTTTTCCCGAGCTCCTTCCCTTAGCCACCAAGGTCCAACCCACTCCCCCGGACCTGCTGCTCTGCACAGTCAGCCTAGACCTGCTTGTGACTGTCCAGATCTCCCCAGGAGTCCTCTGTGTGAATAAACTTTCTCTTAAATTCTCTTGGTGTGGGGCGCCTGGGTGGCTCAGTCGTTAAGCGTCTGCCTTCCGCTCAGGTCATGGTCCCAGGGTCCCGGGATCGAGCCCCGCATCAGGCTCCCTGCTCCGCGGGGAGCCTGCTTCTCTCTCTCCCACTCCCCCTGCTTGTGTTCCCTCTGTCACTATATCTCTCTCTGTCAAATAAATAAATAGAATCTTTAAAAATAAATAAATTCTCTTGGTGTATACAGCATCAGCTTCGGAAGTAAATTTCGGTGGGGGTCCAGGGCACGTGTGTGGGGTGACCACCAAACATCCACATGCAGATCACTTCCTCAGGGGAGTGTTCTGGTACATAAGGTTTAATGGCTGCTGGAAGTTACCTCATGAACGCTGCGCATGCAGGGCTCATCCTAGCTGTGATTCCTTTCATGTTGAATGAAGCCACAGTGGTAAACCACCCTTTTCCAGATTCACTGCACTCATGTGCCTTCCTCTCATGCACTGGAGCTGAGCAACGCGCCGCCTGGGCTGAAAGCTTTTTGACACTGACTGCAATCCTAAAGGCTTTATCTGGTGTGAACTCTGGTGTTTAATGAAATTAAATCTGCAGCTAAAGGCTTTCCCACACTCGCTGCACTTGCAAGACCTTTCTCTAGTGTGAGCTTTTTCATGGTGAATAAGGGTGGAGGGCTGGCTAAGTTTTCCCACATTTAGTACACTCGTAAGGGCCTTCTCTAGCATGAACTCTATCATGCAGAACAAAGTAGACATCCTGGCTCAAGGCTTTGCCACATTCTAAAAAAAATATATATTTTACTTATTTATCTGAGAGAAAGAGAGACAGCACAAGCAGGAGAAAAGGGCAGAGGGAGGGGGAGAAGCAGACTCCCTGCTGAGTAAGGAGCCCGACGCAGGGCTCAATCCCAGGACCCTGAGAGCATGACGCGAGCTGAAGGCAGATGCTTAACTGACTGAGCCACCCAGGTGCCCCAAGGCTTTGCCACATTTGGTGCACTCATAGGCCTTTCTTGTTTGCAACATCTGGTGTGGAATTATGTGGAATTGGTGGTTGAAGGCTTTCCCACATCTGCCACATTCACATGGCCTTTCTTTGATGTAAACAATCTGGCGCTGAACAAGGGCTCGGGTTTCACTAAAGGCTCTCCCACAATGGCTGCACTCATAGGGCCCTTCTCCAGTGTGAACCTTCTGGTACTGCATAAGGTTAGACACGTGGCCAAGGGCTTTCCCACATTTGCTACACTCAGGGCCTTTCACCAGCATGAACCTTCTGCTGCTGATTTAGAGTATAACTTTGGCAGAAAGCTTTTCCGCACTCCATGCACTTGTAAGGCCTTTTCCCAGAGTGAATTTTCTCATGCTTTTTCAGTTTACAGGTGTGGCTGAAGTTCTTCCTACTCTCCTGACTCACATAGGATATTTCTCTAGTGTGAATTTTTTGGTGACTAACAAGCACTGATTTCTTCTTGCAGACATTTCTATTTGCTGGGCATCTATATAGTCTCTCTTCAGGGTGAGTCAGGTGGCTAAGGAGGGTGGAGCTCTTCACGAAGGCTGTCCCCCAGTTGCTGCATTTGAAGGGCTTCTCTGCAGTGTGGACTTTGGGAACTGCCCAATATTGGGGCTGGGTGGGAAGGCCTTCCTGAGCTTGGTGCTCCTTAACGGCTTCCTATCACCGCGGGTGGGTGGGTCTTAGGTCATGGCTGTCTAGGACATCCTTACATGTGCACAGCTTTTCTGTAGCATGCACTCATCACAGGTGAGAGGTTTCTCTCCATACTGAAGTCAGCTGTTTCAGTGGAAGGTTTAAGTGGAACCAGAATTCTCTCCTGCACGCCCCACACGTGTGCAGTTTCTGCCCAGGTCTGTTTCCATGCTTCTCCAGGGACAAAGTCTCTGAAGACTTAACCACCTGGGTTATAGGGGTGGACCTTCTGGCTAGAAGGACCCGCAGTGGGAGTCCAGACCTGCGATACGATTTTTCTAGAAACATCTTATTCCAACAGTGTCTCCTTATCTTCCCTTCCACATGAGTTACCTGAAAATAGGGAAATGCCCTTTCTGTAGGTCATGGTAGGTGGGTGAGGATGGATCCATCATTACGTGGTGTCTAATAAGCTAAGAACTGATTCCCTGGGTTCATGAGAAACGAAGGGGGCCAGGATCAGGGGGAAAAGAGCAAGTCCTGTTGGTACAGGCTCTGGCCAGGCCAGTGCAAAATATCTCAACAGGGTCAAAGATTCAATGTGGCTGGCAGGATCTGCGGCTCACCCTCTGCAGACACAATGAAGTAGGGATGCTGGGACAGGCAAACGCTGCACAGGAAGAGCCCAGACACGGATGTAACATCCAGTCACTTCTTAGGGTTAGGCTTCCAAGGGTTATTTACCAAAACATGAACATACCCTAACAGCCAAACAGAAGCCAACACTGGAGGACCAGACATAGGGAGAGCAGTTACAAGATGAAACGTGAGGGAGGAGAGGTGGGAACTAGACGTCAGGAAGAGGAAGCAAGAGGACGGGATGTTCCGAAAGGTGTAAGAAGTTGGACTGAGGCTGGGACAGTGATGTGGAACAGGACCATGGCCAGCCACAATTCAACCTAGACCAGGCCTCAGCCCGTACCTGAATTTCACTCAGCAAGGCCCACCGCTTCTGGGACTCTGTTGCAATGGCTAGAATTGCATCTTCCCAGCTAGATGCCCAGAACTCCAGGTCATGCTCTGGCAAAATGACCTTGTGGGGTGGAGTGGCCACGAGTCCTGTGGAGGACAGGGCAGGTAAAGGGGCCTGCCCTGACCGTTGACCCGTCTGCGGAAGTCAAGAAGCTGGCTTCATCTTTACCATTAGTGAGAAGGAAGCAGGAAGGACGTCACAAAAGGAAACTTTGAGAGGGGTTTTTCAGGAATAGCCAGGGGCTGCTCCTGGCCCTTCGTTCAATCTATCCTTTGCAAGCAATGACAACAGGGCCCCCAGAGACTGGCAGTGGCAATTCTAAGGAAGTATCTGCTGGAGCAAGAAAGCAGAATCCGTGGCACAGAGACACCCTGCTATGGAGCCAAACCCAATGGCTTGTTGGAAAGATGGAGAGAACCTTGACCTTTCTCCCCAAGCCACCACAAGCCTGGGGCAGCAAAGGTGGAGTGACTCAGGGACAGCACAAGTGAGTGCCCACAACTCTGAAAAAGAACACATAAGGAGAGGCAGGAGATTCACTCAGTAAGGCTGTGAACGTGAAGTCATCCAACATCCCGTCCTGGTACAGGATCTTCTGGGCCAGTGAAGAGTCTCCACTCCTCCCTAGAGGTACATGGCCACATCCTTGGGTCACCAGGCCTGGCAGTGAGGAAGACCGCTGGTCCTTCAGGGCACGTGAGTGGAAATCTTCGAGCCCCAGGCCTAGAACCCAGGGCACCTTCCTCTCTCCCCTGGCAACCCTCTCCCCTATAACACCTCTCAGCTATAACCCCTAACTCCTCAGAAGGAACGCTAGTGTACCAGCATCAGGGCCTTCTCCTTCTCCCAAGACCCACTGGCCACTGCACTGCAGCCACTGCATCATAAAGTAGGAGGGGAAATGGGTATCATCCAATCTGTATATGCCCTATTTCCAGATGGTTCCCTGGACACTCCCCACAGTGTGACCTATGAGAAAAATAGCCCCAGGTGCACAAACTTCCCCTAGGGCCCCAGCACCAAGCCGTTGTACTCACTGTTCTGCCTGACTCATGACAGACTCATCAGTTTGTGACAGCTCCTTTCTCACACCCCTAGGTCTTCTTCTTTCGTCTATGTCCTTGGATCAGCCCTCTCAACTCTCCCCAGGCCACTCTGCACGTGGCAGCCAGTGACCCTGGGAATAATAGCCAAGAACCAATTTCCAGTTGATCTTGCAACAAAACCTCCAATGGGGGGGGGCACTCAGGGCTAGGGGCTACCCCTGGCCCTTCGTTCAAGGCCTTCCCCACCTGTCACGGTCCTCTCTGCTCCATCTCTCAGCTACAAACACCTGGATTCCCAAATACCCCTGGCCCTCTTACACCTCTGCCTTTGCCTGTCCTAACGCCTTACCAGGTGTGTCCCACCTGTTCCACCACAGGACGGCCCTTCAGGTCCCACTAGCTCCACTGTCACTGTGGATAACACATCCTGACCCCTGCACTTGCAGCAGACCGAACCGCCATTCTATAGCAGCATGCCTACAAGGCCTGAGTCCCACTGTGGAGCCTCAGTAGTGTGCAGAACCTCCCTGGACCCTTCCCTGTCACACGCTCTCACAATCTGTCCTCCCTGGGTCCACCATCTCCCAAGTCTGACCCAGAGCCACCTCCCTGGTCTGGGGCTCATTACACGCCTGGACTATTGCTGAAGCCTCCTCTCTGGCCTCCCTGCTTTGGCCCTTGCCCCTCAGTCTGTTCACACACCAGCCAAAGAAACCAGTTAAGAGTAGAGTAAGAATAAAGAGCCAGCGTTTAGTCTCCTTAAAGAAAGCCTAAGCTGCACCCTGAATTCTCCTACCAGGTTCTCTTTCCTCACCCGATGTAAGAAGGATCTGGGGTGCCCTGACGGCTCCCAGTTCAAGCTCACAAACAAGGCTCTGCATGTCTTTGTCTCCAAGCATGAAAAAGCCTTTCAAGCCCCTCCCCCTCTTTTTTTGGCAGCACACTGTCCAGTAACGTGGGACACAAAGGCACAGAATGAGAGTGACTCCCATCATCGCAGACGAAGAAATGGAACGGGCAGGAATCGCACGGCACACACTCACTCATTCACTAACGTTGGGGCTCCAGGACCCTGGGGCTAAGGGTACTGCCGGGCTTCTGTAAGCAGGACCCTTCACTCCCCAGAGACTTCTGGTGGCGCCGCTGTTCCCACGGTGAGCCCCTGGGGACCGAGGAGAAGCGGCGCGTCAGGGGCTGACCGCTGAAAAAGACCTCCCCCGCCCTCAGTTCCCCCTCGGCGGGTGGAGCCCGGGCGGCGGGCCGCCGGCGCCTCCGAGCCTCGCCCGCCGCTCAGAGCGGTGGAAACACGGCCAGCGCGCCTGTCCTGGGAAGGTGCCCGGGTTGGACGGGCTCTAGCGGAAGTCGGCGGACATGCCCGGGCGCGGTCCATTCTACTTCCGAGAACACCGAGGCTCGCGAAGGTGGGGATGGCAGCTCGTCGGCCCCGCCCGCAGGCGCAAAGGCCGCGGGAAGGGCCGTCCCCGCCTTCCACACTTGGAGCGCCTCAAGCCCTGGGCGCCGACGCCCTGTAGCTTCCAGAACGCGTCCCCAGCCCAGGGATCAGGGCCCGCGAACAGGCGCACAGCAAGTCGAGAGAAAAACCTCAGGGCGACGCCAACGCTCCGGCCTCGCCCGGCGCGGGACGCACGGACATGCCCCGCACAGCGCAGCGTCTTCCGGGCGCTGTAGTTCACACCGTAAATCCGACTTCCGCGGGGACCGTGGTTCCGGGTCACCCTGACAAGGACCAAGCGGCACCGCGAGGGCTGTCGGGAACTGAGGTCCGGCGGGTCGGTTGACCTAAGGCACGTGTGAGGCTCGCCGGCGGCATCGTCAGAAAGGACCTGGCCCCTAGGCCAGACTGGGCCCATTGCGCCGGGTCCCCGTCCGAGACAGCCCTGGTGGACTTGGCATGGGTAAGGGAAGGTCTCCCAAGCTCCGCCTAACGGGATTCCAAGCCCCAGTGTCCTAAAAGCGAAACTGGGGGCGTCCTGCCTGGGGTCATCGTTTTCCCTCCAGGCTGGGACAGTGGGTGTGCGCACCCCATTTTTAGCGGCCTTGGAAGGAAGCATGGAAGTTGTTCCAGGCAGAGGGACCTGCATGTGCAAAGGCTTGGAGGCCATCCAAAGAGGAAGGCATTAGGGAAACTTTAAGTCCTTTACTTATGGTGGGACCAGAAAGCTCCAGGGGAGGTTTCATGCTAGGCCTTTATTCTGAGGGCCCCATGAGCGGAGAAGATCTGTGAACAGAGGAGGGACCTGATCTGATTTGAGCAGTAGACCTTTAGTTTCCATGTGCAGAAGTGATGGGGGACCAGATGAAGGTGGAGGTGGGTGAGGACAGAGGAAGAACGCACCTGCAATTATGGAGGCAAGCGATGGTGGCAGCATGGACTAGGGTGGTGGTGGCAGAAAGATGTAGGAGAAGTAGTCAGATTCTGGATCTCTTCTGCAGGCAGAGCCATCTGGATTTGCTGATGGATCAAAGAGGGGTGAGAAAGAGACGAGAGGTCCAGAGGACTCCAGGTTTTTAGCCTGAGCAGTTGAAAGAATGGAACTGCCTTCCAGACACATGGGAAAGGGGAAAGAGGAGCAGGTCCCAAAGGAAAAGCAGGAGTTGGGATTGTGTCTGAGTGGCCTGGAGACATCTGAGTGGAAAGGTGATGTGGGCAAGACTCAGAGATCTGGCGTTTTTTTGTTTTGTTTTTGTTTTTTAAAGATTTCATTCATTTATTCGACAGAGAGAGACACAGCGAAAGAGGGAACACAAGCAGGGGGAGTGGGCGAGGGAGAAGCAGGCTTCCCGCCGAGCAGAGACCTTGACGCGGGGCTCGATCCCAGGACCCTGGGACCATGACCTGAGCCGAAGGCAGACGCCCAACGACTGAGCCACCCAGGCGCCCCGAATCTGGTGTTCTTGAGAAAGGGCTGGCCGGAAGTGTCTTGGAGTGATGGGCTGAGGGCTTGGGCCAGGGTAAGGCCTGGGAACCAGATTGAGGAAGGAGGATCTAAGGGCCTTGGTTACAGATGGCCACTGGATGGAGGGAAGGGTCACTGAGGTCAGGACTGGAGAGCTAAGTGAAGGTGGGCACAGAACGGGGACTAAGGGTAACGATCACAGATGCAGTTGGAAGGAGGCTTGGCTTCCCATAGATTTGCGGATACCAATTGCCTTTTGCCTACAGTCCCTCTGGCTGCTATGTGCAGAGGGATCTCTGAGAAGCCTGGGGTAAAAAAAAAAACAACATTGGAACAGATAAGGCAGGGCCCCAGGATGTGATAGAAAGACTGTCCAAAACCTGTTAGGGCCAGCATAGGGGGCCCAGCATGGGATCAAGCCCTAGTGTGTCTCAGATGTGGAGTCCTGGGGGAAGTCATTGAGTGTACTGGGGAGAGATTCCAGGGGGAGTATCAGGGAGGAGGCTGTTAAGACAAGAACTAGAGGCCTGGATCACACACCCAGAACTTACACCACAGTCAACTGCCCACATGCCGTTGTTGCAAGGTTTGGTGACCTTTGATGACATTGCTGTGGTTTCTCTCAGGAGGAGTAGGGGCCCTGGAGGGGCCAGAGGGGCCTGGTCCATGATGTCACTCTAAGGACATTCTTGGGTTCCCTGTGGGGGTGTTTTTGGACTTGGGGCTGGGCACCAGGCTTCGCTTGCTGACCATGATCTTGTTGGTAAATGTCTTTCCAACTCTGTCCAGTGGGTCTGCCTGTTGAGTCCGCTGGGACCAAGGCCCTTCTGCATCTGGGTTTTAGTCCCCTGACTCCAGTAGGAGGTTCCGGAGACTGTTCCTTGCCAAGCACTCCATACTTTTATGGTCATTGTTTATTGGACCTATAAGGTTATTTTTGCAAAACTTTTCTTGGATGTTTTATCTTGTGAGGTTCCATTTTATTTCCAGTCACATCTGTCATGCTTGCCCTGTGACCTGTTGTGGAACGCCAGGAGGGGTCCTGGACTACTGTGTGGTCATCCAGCTAGAACAATGCAAGGAGCCCTAGCTGCTCACCTGGGTTGATACGACTCCACCATGGCAGGTTCCTGCAGGCATACAGAGTGTGAGCTAGGTATGGGAATGACTGCGGGGCTGGGTTAGGCTGGTGCTTGACCAGTGCCTCTAAGTCCAATAGCTGTATCTCATTCCTACCATCTTCTAGACCCAAACTACCTCTCATCTGACTCCTGAGCATTAGCTGTCTCCCACCCTCCTCGAGCCGAGCCTCCACATCTGACCCATTCTACTTTCCCCCTGTTGCTTTCGGGTCCTTCAATTCAGCTTCTCCTTCCTGGTCAGCATAATCAAGCCCTCCCCACCCCTCCACCTTTTCAAGATGCTCACACCTGAATCCCTGAACCTGTGAGGATGCTACTTTATTTGGCAAGAGAGATGTCACACACACAAAAAGATGTTACAAATGTGATTAGGTTAAGGATCTTAGAATGGGGATATTATTGTGGACTATTCAGGTGGGCCCTAAATGGAATCACAAACATTCTTATAAGAGAGAAGCAAGAAGGTCAAAGGAAATCCAATACCTTTCATGACAAAAACTGTCAGAGAACTAGCAATATAAGGGAATTATTTCAACATGATAAAGGGCATCTATGAAAAACCTGCAGCTAACATTATACCTAATGGTGAAAGACAGAAAGCTTACCCACTAAGATAAGGAATGAGGCAAGAATGCTCACTTTCATCACTGCTATTTGACGTTGTACTGGAAGTTCTTGCCAGAGAAATCGGGTAAGAAACAGAAATAAAAAGCATCCTGATTAGAAAGGAGGAAGTAAAACTATCTCTATACACAAATGACATGAAAATCCCAAAGAATCCATAAGAAAGCTACTGGAGCTAATAAACAAATTTAGCAAAGTTGTAGGGTACAGGATCAACACATAAAAATCTGTGTGTTCGGGGCGCCTGGGTGGCTCAGATGGTTAAGCGTCTGCCTTCGGCTCAGGTCATGATCCCAGGGTCCTGGGATCGAGTCCCGCATCAGGCTCCCTGCTCCTTGGGAGCCTGCTTCTCCCTCTGCTTCTCTCTCTCTCTCTCTCCTCCTCTGTCTCTCATGAATAAATAAATAAAATCTTTAAAAAAAAAAAAATCTGTGTGTTCGGCGCCTGCGTGGCTCAGTTGGTTAAGCGACTGCCTTCGGCTCAGGTCATGATCCCGGAGTCCTGGGATCGAGTCCCACATCAGGATCCCAGCTCAGTGGGGAGCCTGCTTTTCCCTCTGACTCTCTCCCCTCTCATACTGTTTCTCTCTCGCTCACTCTCTAATAAATAAATAAAATCTTAAAAAAAAAGAATGATTTAAAAAAAAATCTGTGTATTCCTATATACCAGCAATGTACAATCTGAAAAGGAAATTAAGAAAGCTATATTTACAATAACATTTAAAAGAATAAAATAGCTATAAGAATACATTGAAGCAAAGAGATGAAATACGTGTACACTGAAAACTAGAAAACATTATTGAGAGAAGTTAAAAATATCTAAATAAGTGGAAAGTCACCCCATATTAATGGATAGGTAGACTTAATGTTGTTAAAATGTCAATGCTACCCAAAACTACAGATTCAATGCAATCCTCATCAGAATTCCAACAGCCTTTTTTTTTTTTGCAGAAATGAAAAAAGCTGATCCTCAAATTCATATGAAACTGCAAAGGGACCCAAACAGCCAAAACAAACCTGAAAAAGAACAAAGTTGGAGCGGGTCACCTTGGTGGCTCAGTCGTTGGGCGTCTGCCTTCGGCTCGGGTCATGGTCCCAGGGTCCTGGGATCGAGCCCCGCGTCGGGGGGGGGGGTCCCTGCATAGCGGGAAGCCTGCTTCTCCCTCTCCTGCTCCCCCTGCTTGTGTTCCCTCTCTCGCTGTGTCTCTCTCTGTCAAATAAATAAAATCTTAAAAAAAAAAAACGAAGTTGGAGCACTCACACTTTCTGATTTCAAAACTTACTACAAAGCTATAGTAATCAAAACAGTGGATAGTGGCATACAGATAGACATATACACCAATGGAATAGACTTCAAAATCCAGAAGTAAACTGATACAAAACCTATACAACTATTGCTAATTGATTTTTTACAAGGGTGTCAAGGCCATTCAATTAGTATTGAATCTTCAAAAGATGGTGCTGAGACAACTGGATATC